TTCTGACTAAATCCTGTAAACCGGACTGCTATTGGAACAGACTAATTGTTGTTATTGCTGAGACATGATACTGCTGCATCAGCTGTTGACCTTGATTCTGTTTTTGATACTCTAAATGTTGCTGCGTTTGAAACGTATTCAGTGAGTCTAGAACCCATTCTATGTTAAGCGGCACAACAGTGACTAACTTTTTTGGTGTTGAACTATTGGCTGTGGTCATAGACGTTGAGGGTTGTTGGAGAAATGAACGGCTGCTGCTGCCGTAGCAGTGCCGGTAAATAAGCTGGGGGCTAATGCTTGGTGGCTTACTAAAATTATAGTTGTGTATATTCAGGAAGATGTGATATGACAAGATGTGGAAATTAAGGTTACAAAATTGTCCATGTGGAGCGATTGGTTAACCGGACAAGCAACTTGTTTCCCAGGCTTGTCTTTGTTGATATATTCCCGATTGTAGTTTTTAAGTTGTGGCAGTTGGACTGGCAAAAATTTTCACACTATTGCAGCGGAAAGGATAACAGCGTATGCACATCGCGTCAGCGCAGAAATATTTGGAAAGATTTGTTGCTTCTTTGATCTTGCGCTTTTCGTTGATAGATATTTGAAGTTCGTCGTTGTGTTTTTAGTCCAGGTTTAATGCAGGATCGCCAATATATGTATCATGATGAAATTTTATTATTCAAAATTTTGAATTATTTATTAGAACATTTTATGTTTGTAATTTGAAGACTTTTATTTTAATGATTTTAAAAACTTAGAAATTCTAATAAAATCTAAGAACACCAGAACAAATAAAAATTCTACAGGTATAAAAGAACAAGGTATTTATACCCTACAATCATCTCGATCAATTAGCCCATCGACTTTGCTCCCGCGGACCACCGAACCTATATCAACTTCAACAAAGCTGATTGGAACGGCTTCGCGGAAGTTACCGAGAACAGAGTCGCCGCCCCTCCCACACCCACAGACATACACGCTGGCAAATGCCAATTCCGCAGGGAAGTCTGCCGCAGCGGCTCGCTTCATACCATCCGAGCGCATCGCGGAAGTCCGCCTAAATATCCCAAGCTAATGAGCTTGGAGACCTATAACTTCGCCTCTGGTATGAGTAAGTTTGGTCAACTGTGAGGTCCCTGCACAACCCGACGAGGCGAGATGACAGTGTGGAAATTTCGTTCTATTATCGCCCCTCGTCGGCCCCGAGCTATTTTAGCCGGTAGTTCACATTGCATCCGTCGGTAGAAAGAGCCAAACGTCGAGTGACCAGGTGGCTGCGCAAACTGCCCAAAAGCAGTGCACTACTTACTTTCAGCAGCGGCGAAGTAAAGGTGGCCATCGAGAAGCGAAAGCCTCCAAAGCCATTGGACCCGACGGAATTTGCATGCTGATGCTAAAGCATTTGGGGCCCGCGAGAGTAGCATATGTCACAGAGATCCTTAACCTGTCAATGGGTACTGTCATCATTCCTGATGTGTGCAAATCACTGCTCTTATCTCTTATCGCCCGATAACGCTCCTTTCCCAGGTCACGAAGACACCAGAGCCCCAGCTACTCCCGTACTTTACCCACCACCTGACCCCAGGGAAGTATCAGCATGGTTATGTAAATTGCACAGCACAACAACAGCATTAAACGCCATAAACATCCAGACAACTCGTGGCCTAAACCGCAACCACCCCTGTCCGAGAACAGTCCAAGCAGCGTTGGACTTGTCACGGGCGTTTCATACTGTCCACCGTTCCACGCTACCATAATACATTGGGGCTTCCTCTCTCCCACAGGGAAGAAGAATGAAACAAGGCGTTCCACAAGGTGATGTCCTCTCCCCATTACTGTTTAACTTTTACATCTCGAAGCTCCCCCAACCAACTGAGGGAGTTTCCCGGGTGTCATACATGGACGACTGCTCAATATTGGCGTCTGGGAATAGAATTGATGACCTATGCTCAAAGCTAAGCGGCCATCTCTCCAGACTTTCTCGCTTATTCACTGCGTGGAGCTCAACACTCTCCCCAACAAAATTAGCGGCGACCTCTTCATCACCTGGACGAATTTCAGGATTTATTTAGGTTCCGACCATGTTGTTGTAGCAGCATACAAGCTCCCAAAAGAGTTGTTGCTGGAGTGACAGTCCTTGGCCAAATATAAATCTGGGTCGTTCCGGTTACGTAGACCCGACTGTCGTGGGAACGTTCCGACCCTGTCGAAACTGCCCGTTTATTGGGCCTACCTTTAGTTGAAGTAAATGATTGATGGATGGACCGAAATAGGCGGGGCTTAGTAGTGCCGCTACAACAAGAACAACAGGTTTAGTGAAAAAAGTCTCGCACTGACGGGGTTGAGGCTTCCGATGCTTCATTCTCGTTTAAAAAACGCATACATAGCACATATGAATATACATTTATTTAAATGTATGTATGTATATTTTGACAAATTAATGATACTCATAAACAAAGGCTTCTAGAATATATAAGCATATAACCCGAAATTAAACTGAATTCTACCCATATTTAATATACTTAAACAACAAATAAGCAACCGCATTGATTTAATACAATTGAACAAGAAACTGTTAACCAATTATAAATAACATTTGTATTATGTAATTATTTTATAAAATTGGGCAAAAGCACAAAACAATTTACATTCAAAAATCTGGAATTGGTGACAAGGAATTATGTATAAAGTTGTAACTTACATTTACATTTATTAAATTGATTTGTTTTACATTGACCACAATTGTGTTTTTGAAGGAATGGATTAAACTTTTATAATTCATATTTTGTCTTATCTACATACATATGTAACAAAATACAACTCATACATGTGCTATATGTATATAAATGTACTATGTTTCAATTAATACCAAAGAAAAAACCACATATCTACAATTATTTTTGCATTTCATAATTTTAATTAACCTAGAATTTAAGTCAATAAACATCATTTTAAGGAAAGTTGTCCTTCATATATGATTTAATTTAAAGTACGTATTCAAAAACAAACAAAAAATGTATTTTTATTAATCGTTGACACATTAGCACCCCTTCATTTTGAACTGCTTAAGATTTTTGATGGTGGAATTTGACGCTTTTGGTGTGTAAAACATTTTAAGTTTCGCTCATTTTATAGTTGTCAACATCTTGCGGACACATCGTCAGCATCAATGCTAAATGTACTAATTGATTTTTTTGTTTAGAAATGTGTTCTTTGCATATTGTATGTAAATATTCCTTTAGCTTTCTCCCAGATGCACCTTCTTATTAAAATACAAAACCAAATTTAAAAAAATTTATACATATTTATTCGCGTAACTAAAATAAGCTTTTTGTTTTTTCTGTAAAATTTCAACTTTATCGTTTGCATTGATAAAGACAAAATGTACATACATTTTTTTTGTTGCATCGCAGATACAGCTACACTTTTTCAAATACTAATACATATACATATGTATGTACTAACCATTATTATCGCACCACTACAACTGCGTATTAACATCTTTGGTTATTTTCTACCCCGCGTACAACTTCAACTTTTCGGCGCGTTTGCACTGTTGCGTTTTTCCGCTATCCACATTTCGATTTCCTGCTTGAGTTCATTATTTGGCTGTACCTTGTCCATTGTGAGCGGAGCGCGATTGAAAGGATCAGTTTGATCGCTGAGCAGATGTCGAGCTATGGTCGAACGATCCACTGTCACCTTCGAGCTAGGCAGTATTACTGGGTCGGTCATTAACGTGGACATAATTGGATCCAAAAACTCTTCGGGTGCATCAGCTAAGAATTCCTGCTCTTCACGATATTGCACTTCCATGCGTTGTACTTTGGCAGCAAAGTCAGTTATTTCACCGATCAGTTGGCCGCCACCAATACGTACGAGTATATTTTCAGCATAACTAAATAGTTGCGAGCTATAAGAACGGCCATCTTGCGATACGGCTAAGCAAAATTGCTCACTGGTACTCAGATTGATATAGATGCGACAGATTTCCAATACCGTTTGCGCAGGATCGAACTCAAATTCCTTCTTATCTTTTACCTTGAAGCGCTCCTTTTGCGGTCCGACTAAATTCAAGAGAAAATAATTTAACATGGCGGCAATACGATCCACCATGCTGTTATGGCAAAAAATACTTTTAATTTCTATTGTTAGCAATTTTAGAATGTTAATGGTATCGCGACCAAGTATGTTGTCTATGCGGGCTCTCATGCCTAATTGATGCAGACTGGACAACTGTTGTTGGCGATCGTTTTGTGAGAGAGCATTCCATTCCCCACGCGCCTGTGCCTCTTGAAGTTGGCGTATTTGCTCCAAATTTGAAAGGGATTCATCTAAAAATATTCGAAGTTTTAATATTTGTAATTAGAATAAAACCAAATGAATAAGTATGATACATTTCATTAACTAATGACATAAGCCGCAGGCAACCGCAGTAGCCGAGTGGGTAGAGACGCATAGTACCATTCCCACCACAGTCGGTACTACGTACCGGAATGACTCGGGTTTTACCCGACCAAGGGCTGTTGTTTCGGCGATATAACCCCGTTTAGGTCGGCGAAGTATCTCGGAAGTTGTTCGTCTATAGGGCTACATTCGCTATGTATTCTTCTGTTCAGGGCTGGCATCGAGTCAAACCCAGGGCCAGAAACCTTACACCTGCTGTGTATGCCAGAGACGACTACACCACAACTCCACCTCAGTCAAGTGCAATGCTTGCGAGGAGTGGAGTCACCTCAGAGTCTGCTCGGGATTACGGACACATCGGCAGTGGACCACGTCGTTTGTGACCCCCTGCTGCTCAAATAGAGCAGCCTCCACGGCTAACCCCAGTCCACCTGAGCGGCTCCACACAAACACCACAGCACAACAACATAACAACACAATAGACCACACCACAACCACGACAGACCACAGCGACATAAGCGGAAGAAGTGGGAAGAGCATCTGAAGACCTGTAACGTCATCTCTGGTGTGAGTAAGCTTTGGTCAACCGTGAGGTCACTGTCCAATCCGACGAAGCACGACGAAAGAGTCGAAATTTCTTTCGGCGACCATGCTTCGTCGGACCCGGAGCGATGAGTGAGCTATTTTAGCCGGCAGTTCATACTGCATTCTCCGGTGGCCAAAGCCAAGCGTCGAGTGACCAGAAGTCTGCACAAACTGCCAACAACTTGTGCCCCTCTTGCTTTCACTTGCGGTGAAGTTCAGGTGGCCATCGGAAAGGCGAAAGCCTCCAAAGCCATGGGTCCCGACGGAATATGCATGCTGATGCTGAAAAATTTAGGTCCTGCGGGAGTAGCGTACCTAACGGAGATCCTCAATTTGTCAATGGCCACTCTCACCATCCCAGACATCTGGAAGGTGGGGAGAGTGGTCCCACCGCTCAAACCGGGGAAACCAGCCAACAAAGAAGATTCGTATCGACACAGGCGTTTCATACCGTCAGCCACTCCACGCTACTAGAAAATATAGAGGCTTCCTCTCTCCCACAGAGGCTCAAACGGTGGTCGGCAAATTATCTGAGTGGTCGACACTTGTCGGTAATGTTTTAGATACAAATCGAGCAAACTCAGGAAAATAAAACAAAGGGTTCCGTAGGGTGGTGCCCTTTCCCCGCTACTGTTTAACTTTTACATTTCCAAGCTCCCTCAACCACCAGAGGGAGTCTCGATTGTCTCTTACGCCGACGATTGCTCGATCATGGCGACTGGGAATGGAATTGATGACCTGTGTTCGAAAGTAAACGGGTATCTCTCCGAGCTTTCTCGCTTCTTCACTGCAAAGTGCCTAGCCCTCTCCCCTACGAAATCCTCTGCGACTTTGTTCATCAGCTGGACGAAGGAGGTCAGGCTACCGCTGGGGATTCACGTCGATGACACACCAATTCCGACGGTGAATAACCCCAAAATACTCGGAATAACATTCGACAGTCTTCTCTCCTTCTCTGCGCACGCAACCGCTATTGTCAATAAAGTACAGAGCCGCAACAAGGTCCTCAAGTCGCTAGCCGGAAGTACTTGGGGCAAAGACAAAGAAACGTTGCTGGCAAAATACAAGGCAATAGGCCGGCCGGTTTTAAACTACGCAGCACCAGTGTGGTCGCCGGGTACCCCCCCAGCCGGGAATCAGCCCCATCGCTAATTCCATGTGAATAAATCGTTCCCATCATTTAACATGCAAAACAAAAACAAATTGGGAACATTTTTTTTTTGTTTTGCTTTATAATTTTTGGGAATATTTGTTCACATGGAATTCACGATAGGGCCGAATGCCGTTCTAGGCACACAACCACCGGACACTGACGAGACGGAGCTTCATCTGCCTCGGGAGACAAGAACCACAATAGCCCAACTTCGCTCTGGCTACTGCAGCAGGTTAAACTCATACCTGAGCAGACTAAACGCGGATGCGCCAAATTAGTGTCCGGCATGCGGAGAGACCCTTCACGACT